GACAAAGAGTGACAAAGTAACATCACACAATTGAAAAGGTAACAAACTTTGCACAAGGGCATTTGAAATGAATAACACATTTAATGATTCCAGCTGGCCCTGATTGGCCCTGATTGCTGGCCAGGCTGAGGAACCCCACCTGTGCCCGAATTCGTGCACCGGGCCTCTAGTGTATATATAAATACATACATATAATATATGTGTGTGTGTATAAAATAAACACCTAAGTAAACTTAAAACACAACTTTTAAAAAGTTTTACTTTAAGATTATGACAAATTGTTAATGAGTTTTGAAAACAACTCTAAGTAATAACTTGAAGCTGGTGGGGAGAGGAAGACTGATATAAGTTAAAGTGGTTTGCCGAAACCGGTTTGGCTCAGTGGATAGAGCATCGGCCTGCGGACTGAAAGGTCCCACGTTCGATTTCGGTCAAGGGCATGTACCTGGGTTGCGGGCACATCCCCAGTGGGGGATGTGCAGGAGGCAGCTGATTGATGTTTCTCTCTCATCGATGTTTCTAACTATCTCTCTCCCTTCCTCTCTGTAAAAAATCAATAAAATTAAAAAAAAAATAAAGTGTTTTTTGGGTTTTTTTTGTCTCTGTGCTTTCAATTCCAAGGACTATTTAAATTTTACATGATAAAAACTTTATTTTTAGAAAATATAAAGTGGCAATACCTTGATCAAGGTCCAAAATATAAATTCACATTTCAAGGGCCAGTGTTAAAAGGAAACACACAAAACACCCCTACAGGGAACAACTAGCAGTTTATATTAACACCGAATTCAAGGAACAGTTAATAATAGCTACCATATATTGAGTCCTTGCTATACTATGGTTCTAAGCATTTTTACATGTCTTAGCTAATTTTATCACCACAACCACTATATAAGGTGGATACCAGTATTACCTCCATTTTACAAATGGGGAAACTGACTAGGGATGGTAAATCACTTGCCCAAGATCATGGAATAACTTGCAGAGCTGGGATATAAACCCAAGCAGTCTGACCTTTGAGTATATGTCTAACTAGTGGGCTATGTGAGAAAAGAGTAGAGAGCCAAATGAAATACAGACTGAAGCCTTTGAAGATTATGGTGAGCCCTGGCCAGTGTGGCTCAGTTGGTTGGGCATCGTCTCACGCACCAAGCGGTTGCTGGTTTGATCCCTGGTAAAGGCACATACAGGAGGCAGCCAATGATATGTCATTCTCACATTGCTGTTTCTCTCTCTCTCTCTCTCTCTCTCTCTCTCTAAACCTCAATAAAAATCTTTAAAAAGAGATTATGGTGATACACATATAAAAGATAAAAAGATGGAGATACACACAATAAGGACATATTATAAACGACATGTGCACTTAATATACCATATTTTCTCATGTATAAGAGTATATTTATGTAATGTGTATATATATATATGTGTGTACATATATATGTGTGTATATATATATATATATATATATATATATATATACATACACACACATCTATCAAATAGCTACTTGATCAGGATGGGAAAAAAATTATACTTGGAAGAAAAAGATCCATAATTAATGGTCATTTTGATGGAGAAAAGATAAACTGACAAAAAAATTTTTTTGCAAGTCCTTGCTAGTATTAGCAAAAAAGCTCAACAGGGTGTTATTAAGGATTAGAAACCAAATCAAGCCCGGCCTGCATGGCTTAGTGGTTGAGCATCGACCTATGACCCAGAAGGTCACAGTTCCATTCCCATCAGGGCACATGGCTGGGTTGCAGGCTGGATCCTCTAGGCAGGGCATGCAGGAGGCAGCCGATCAATGATTCTCTTTCATCATTGATGTTTCTCTCTCTCTCTCTCTCTCTCTCTCTCCTTTCCTCTCTGAAATCAATAAAACTTTATCAAAAACAGAAAGAAAGAAACCTAATCAAGGTGATGACAGGTAGGTAGGATGGAGTAGAAAGAGCACTAGACTGAAAGCTAGATTTTTGTCTGGAATCTTCCATGGATCAGCTAGACCACCTTCCTTACAGATAACTGGGTTGGATACAATTATCCCTAAGGCCTTTTCCTACAGTATGATTCAATCTCTTTTCTTTAGTAAGAAAGAAAAAAGTGATGGTATCACTGGCTAAAACTGAAGTGAGTAGAAAGCCAGGTATGTAAGAAACAAGTTAAGAGTTGTGAAAGGCTACCTGAACCCTGAGCCAAGGTAAAAACTTGCTTATGTCTCTCCCGGTCATGAGATCTTACTAAAAACTCCAGCGGGTCATCTCTAGGATTTCATTTATGCAAGATTTTCTTTTATGCCACGAGTACGAACAAAGGTGTTGTAACATTTTTATTACAAGTATATTTCACCATTCATGCTAGCAAGTTTCTGGATCTAAAACTGAACTCCCAACAGATGGATTATCACAGGGTAAGGGGAGGCAATGCTTCATTTACAATAGTCAGTGCATAAAGGCCTCCAAAGGACCTTTCCTAAAGAACTAATGCTAATGTATGGCTTGGACACTTTTCATAACCAGCACTTTTTTTAAAAAATATATATTTTATTGATTTTTTACAGAGAAGAAGGGAGAGAGATAGAGAGTTAGAAACATCAATGAGAGAGAAACATCGATCAGCTGCCTCCTGCACACTCCCTACTGGGTATGTGCCCGCAACCGAGGTACATGCCCTTGACCAGAATCGAACCTGGGACCCTTGGGTCTGCATGCCGATGCTCTATCCACTGAGCCAAACCGGTTAGGGCATAACTAGCACTTTCAACATACATTCATCAATTCTGTGGGTGGGGAAAAGTAGTGAAATTACAATTAAACATTAAGGAAACTATTTATTGGTTACATGGGCCAAAACTAAGCATCTTGTATTGGCTGTCGTTTCTGCATTGTCATTTGACTGCCCCAGTGAGACACTTTGCACCCATGTGAGACAGCTTTTCCGCATCTGCCTTCAGTCCACTCTTCCAACTCAGGGAGATAAAACAAAGTGGAACCTGCTGACAGGACAGGTGGTAAACGTATGACCTTTATTATATCTGTAATCAACAGAAACCAAAGGACTTGCCCCTCTCCTTTTAGAAGGGAGGTGGGAAAGTTAATTCATTCATACGTTTAACAAAAAGTTTCATCTAGTGATGTTTTAATATTGCCATTCTATATTTATAATTTGTTCCTTTACTCTCAACCTGTGGGTCGAGACCCCTTCACAGGGCTCGCCTAAGACCATCGGAAAACACATATATAATTACATATTGTTGTTGTGATTAATCACTCTGCTTTAATTATGTTCAATTTGTAACAATGAAATTGGGGGGTCACCACAACATGAGGAACTGCATTAAAGGGTCGCGCCATTAGGACGGTTGAGAACCACTGCTTTAGAGTTTATTTTGAAGTACACCTTTTATACAATCAGCACTCAAAACTTTTAAATCTTAAGAAAAACTATGTTCCCGTATCACACTGAACAGCCTAGGGGGCTACACAGGTATTTATTATTGTAACAAGGGAGAGGCTCCCTACCTCTGGGGAGGAATGAAAGGTAGACAGAAGAGCAAAATGAGTCCTATTTCAGCATAAAGGAAGGTTGCCACTGCCGTCCACTGGAGGGTCATTCTTCCTCTTCACACCTAAACAGAGGATCACTCATTTTACTGGCTGCCTTTCCACGAGAACGGGGTGCCCGGCCCCCAGGGCGCACGCTTCCGCCCAGGGGGTGGACGGTGCCGACCCTCCCCTAACCGGAGGCGGCCGGCGTTAGCCCGGGCGGGCGGGAGGCGACGGTTAGGGGGCCGGGAGTCGCGTGCCAGGCGGCCGCCGGGCGCCCGGGACGTGTTTTCCCTCCACCTTCCCAACGCCAGCCTCCACCACGGCCCGCGCTGGGCACCCTGCGCTCGGCGGACGCGCCCCGGGCCCTGGGTCGACGGGCCGGAGGCAGGGCCCGCTCCCCAGGCCCAACCGCCGCGCCCCCGCGCCCCGCCGGCCTCGCCGCCTGGAGGACCGCGGCCCCGGTTCCCGCCCGGCCTTACCCCGCCTGCGGCCGCCGGCTCCGCGCGCTGCCCGTGGGCGCCGACGCGGCCGACGTCAGACGCCGCGCGGGAGGGAGGGGCGCGCCAGGGCCCGCTCCGTCTGCGCGTCCAGCTCCGGCCCGGGGTGCGGGTCCCCGCGGGGGTCCCGGGCGGCGCGAACGCGAGGGTTAGCAATCATTGCTTTCTAATTGGCGATGGAATTAGAGGAATCAGCCCCTTTGACCGGTGCTTTCGGCTCCCAAGTGCCGACTTCCAGTTTCTAAAGCTGTGGTTTGGGTGGCAGGCGTCCTTAATGGCGTTTTCTGATGGCGCTTCCTGGGGTCCGGGGGGAGGAAAGGGCGCGGAGGGGAGGATTCGATAGGGGGGTGCAAGTTCTGCGGACGCGTTTGAAACGGACTCCTTTTCTGTTCCGGCCCTTTTAGGATGGAACCGGTTTCACTGTCCGGAAATAACCTGTAGTTAAATAGAAGGGTCGGGATTGGGTAGCTGAGCAACATTTTGTTCTGAGACTGCGGAATAGTACAGTGAAGACCTACTCTGTTTTACTGCGCTTGTCCACGGGCTGGGAAGAGGCAATCAACTTTAGGGTGCTTGCAGACTGACAGGAAAGGGAAACAATGTAGGCATGGGTATTTTCTTCCTATGACCATTTCCCAGGGTTACATTATACTTGTATTTTAAAATGTTATGTATTTATTATCATTTTTAAAATTTTCAGTTACAGTTGATACACAATATTGCATTAGTTTCCAGTGTACACCCATAATTAGACATTAAATAAGTGACCATACATATAAATCTCAGTAAGTACACTTTGATTTTTCAATTTGAACTTTTAATCTAAGCCCTGAATGCATTCTATACGAATGTCTTGTTCCTTTTCATTTTACAGAGGTTGGCATTTGTTTTGTCATTTCTCTGCACTTTTCCTTATTAAAAACATACTTCATGTTGACTTACAGATACTGAGTCATACTTTTAGTATTAAAATAAAAAAATTTATTTAAAAATGTTAAAAACACAATTCCTTTAAAGTACATATTAAAACAATTTAGGAAGTTCAATCACATCCCATAATGGTCCATAAGGTAATCTAAGACTGCTGATGTGCTTGACAAAGCATTAAATACTCTTTTTTCTTGCCTTGAAGTTATCTTTTCCATCATGTACATTAAATGTTGATGGAAACACATATACGGAGTTCCAAGTTCAAGAGCAAGGTCAACCCAATCCCAGATACATTTCAGGGGGGTTTCCTCATATCCAGCAAACATGGCTGGGTTTGCTAAGAGTCCTCTTGCAACCATCACACCTGCAAATTAAAGCATAGAACATTTATCCACATATTAAGAACTCATAGTTACAAGGTCACACTCAAACAGAGAATATTAAAAAATAAAGTATATTACAAGGTTTCACAATACCCTGATATTAGTCTGTATAATTTAATTATAATACAATTTTTTAAAGTTTCTATAAGTTTAAAGGTAGTTACAGATATTTTTTATTTTATTAAGACTTCTACATTAAGCAATTAATCTTTAGGCTTTCTGTTAAGGGTAAATCCAAATTGTCATAAATTGGGCTTGCTTGAAGTTAAGTTTTATCTGCATTCTCCCACCTAGCAGTAGGTATCACAGGGTTTGGTCTGCCAGTAATTTAAGGGGATAATGAAACTGCATAGAAGGCTGGGGTTCTTTTGGTTCCTTTGACTACTCTTGTGTTCGTTCACTCTCAGTTCTAGTCTAGGTGTTCTATTTTACTAATAGGCTATTTGTAAGATTCTTAACTAGTCTTTCACTGGATATGATGGTGGCAGTAACAAGAATGACTTTACCTCAACTAATCTACTGTTTCTAAGCATCATTTTAATAAATTGCTTAGCTTTAACCAACACAAGAGAAAAATATAGTTCCAATTTAAAGAAAAATAATGAAAACATTAACATTATTCTCTCACCCCCATTTTTTTTGCTAGTTAAAAGACAAAAATTCAAGTACTTCTTTCTTACCATCTGTCCCAGTAATATGGCACACTTTTTCTGCTTCTTTTAAGCTTCTGATGTCTCCATTAGCAATAACAGGTATAGACATATTTTCCTTAATTATTTTAATGGCTTCATAGTGAACTGGCTGATGTCTTTCTTCAACAGTTCTTCCATGGACTGTAATCCAGGAAACTCCCGTTGCTTCAGCCTTTCGACAAAGATCCACAGTTCTTGCAAGGTCATCATGGATCCTATAATTTCAAAATTATAGCCATCTTTTTATAGCACAAATCAAAGCTAAAATTAATAACTAAATAATATTTCATATAAAACATTATGTAATTTTTCTACATCATATTATCACTATACGCCACTATCAGTAAGGGTATTTTTTTGCTCAGGGATCAGTTCCAATTTAAGATTTCAAATGTAGCTATTTCACTATTGGCAACAATAAGATGACAAGTTTTATCTTACCTAGCGCTCCTCCCCTTTGGCTTTCGACACTGAAAATGTCAGCCAAATACTACACACATGAATTGAAAGATGCTATCCTAATATTTGCTTGTGTATGCCTATTCCTCAAGTGGGAGAATATAATACTCATTTATCTTAAAATATGTTTTTAACCTATCACCAAAAAACTGATTCCTGGTTTATTTTATTTTCATTGTGAAATTTTAGTGCAAATACCATTCCTATTTTCTACTCTTGGTACCAGGATTGTATCTTAGCATTAGTTAAGTAGTCCATAGAAAAAGTTAAAGGTTTCTTTTTGAGGAAAGTTTTAAATTTTTTTTACAAAATTGATTTCAAAAAAAGGGAGAGAGAGATAGAAACATTGATGAGAGAGAAACATCAATCAGCTGCCTCCTGCATGCCCCACACCGGGAATCAAGCCTGAAACCTGAGCAAGTCCCTGACCAGGAACTTAACTGGTGACCTCCTGGTGCATGCGATGGCGCTCAACCAACTGAGCCACACTGGCCAGGCTTGGATAAAAGTTTTTAATAATAAAGGGATGTTTTCATTTCTGTTAAACAATACAAAGAGGAAGTTGCTCTGGATTATATATATATTTATATAAAAAAATACTGTATATATCCATTTACTAAATATCTTGTTTCAACATTTCTATACACCACCTACAAGTTAAGGATAGAAAGACAACCCTGCAGCCCCAAACAGAAGGAATATTCTTTTATTTCCTAAGTAAAGAACTATCTGTCAACAGATTAAAATATTTTTACCTTATTTTAATAGATACTGAAAATCTGGGATTTTCCACTTGATTTCTTACTTGTTTCACCATATCTTGAACAAGCTCTGGCTTATTTATTAAGCAAGCTCCATAACCGTCAGCCATTGCCCATCTTTATGAAGCAAACACAACAACAAATAAACTGTAGTTGAAAAAGAAGATACATTTCTAAAGGCACTGTAAGTGCATCTACTATTTCTCTATCTAGCAATCTTGAATGGAATCAGATTTTTACAATTCATAGACCCAACATTTCTAAGTGGACCAATTTAAGATGAGGAAAACAGGTTCCCAGATCAAAAAGTACTTAGGAAATGGTTTTCATTGGCAAGTCAGAAAATTAAATTACTATCCATTCAACCAAAACAGATTTAAGTACTTGTAATTAATTTCAATTATTTCAGATTTTTTAAATTCCAAATTTGATGTTTATTATACATAAGAGGTTTTATTAGTCTTAATAGTAGAGAGATGTTTGGCTTATAGCATTCCAACACCACTAAATAGCTTATTTAACTCTCCTAATGAGCATACAAATATGTCTAATCTGATTTGGATTATGCTGTATTTAAAACCTTGATTTTATTATTTGGACACATTTTGAATTATTGTCAGATAATCTAGTAGTGTCAGAAACATAGGGATAGTGTCAAATTAAGTACATCCTACAAATACACAGTTATTTAGAACCAACCAAATAATTGTGGTATAGGGGAAAGAAAGGTAATTATAAGAAGGTATTCTTTTTTTTTTTTTTTTTTTAGTATATTTTATTGATTTTTTACAGAGAGGAAGAGAGAGAGATAGAGAGTCAGAAACATCGATGAGAGAGAAACATCGACCAGCCGCCTCCTGCACATCCCCCACTGGGGATGTGCCCGCAACCCAGGTACATGCCCTTGACCGGAATCGAACCTGGGACCTTTCAGTCCACAGGCCGACGCTCTATCCACTGAGCCAAACCAGTTTCGGCAAGAAGGTATTCTTATAAAGAAAATTAATTAGGAGAAAATAAGTGGTAAGCTCCCAAATTATAGAACCATAGTTTCTAGAGCACATATGTCTGACATGACAGTAAAAATACATTTTAGAATTTGCTATAAACATCAGTATCTCATATAGCTACTTATGGATGAGGTTCAAGGCAGATCCATACTTTAAAAAATTCTAGTGGTGAGGTAAGATAAAACAGCTGTCAAGGGTCTATACATTGTTTTAGCCATCAGAAAATATCTCTGTGTGTATGTTCCTAAATAATCTTTCCTTATTTTTTTTCTTAGTTAGAGCCCAAGTGCTTTAACTCTATTTTCTTTACTTTTTAATTATTGGAAAACTAGAAAGATAGTTTACCATGTTCACATAGTTTTTTCTAATCTTTTTGAAAATTCTTCCAACTTCTTTTGAGCTTTACCTCTGAGGGCAACCACAGTTAATGTCTATTCCATTCGCATAAGGACAGACTATACGAGCAGCATCAGATAAAAGTCTTGCATCATTAGCAGCAAACTGAACAATCAATGGGCAATCACCTGATAAAACAAATAGGTCAACATTAAAATTCACAAAAACACACATACACACATGAGATACCAATATAAAATAACTATTTTTAGCCTAAGAAGTATCTGTCCAAACAAGGGAGCATTAAAATAATTTTAAACATTTTAAATAAAAAGCAATTCACATTTAGCTCAAATTCAAGTGTAAGGTTTGATAAAATGAAAAGTACAATACTGTTGACAGACAGACCCCTTTCCAAAGGTGAGAATTAGTTACTGTATTCCAGAACATTTTTTTTTTTTATACTATACAGCCCCCTTCAGTGCTCACAGCCCAAGGGTAAGGAGGCTGGGCAATGGTTTGAGGCTGCAACTTCCTCTGGCATGGGTCCACTATGAGAGGCCCACAGACAAGGGCCCCCCATAAATCATGACCATGCATTATTCCAGAACAATTTTATGTGTACCTGTAAATTTTTAACCAATGTGAACATTCTATGTACATTGCTACAATGCTTTTTTTTTTAACCTGATGTGTCTGGGAGCTGTACTTAGACTTATTTTCTTTTCAGTGGCATATTCCACTGTATATAGACGAACCACATAGTGTACTTCTAGATTGTTTTTCGTTTGTGGCTATTGCAAACAATGTGATGAGGATACTCTCACATGCTTTTGTGAGTGCATTCAGAGGGTAAATTCCTAGGTGTGTAACTTTTGGACAAGCATCTAACATTTGATAGACATTACAAAAATTTCTTTCAAAACAATTTACCAACTGTGGGGACCCTATTCAGACGCTCAAGGTCAATTAGAGTGTGGAGGGCCTATTCAGAGTACACCGGACGTTCAAGGCCATTCTGAGTTTGGGAATCTTCATCAAGTGTTCAAGGCTACGATGCTATACACAGGTGCAAGAGCAAGGCCACAGTAATCTGTATGTACACTGCACAAGTGTGCCCTTCTATGACCCAAAAGACTGAGGTCACTATTTGGCAAGAAGCTTCTTTTGTGTAAATAGTATAAAATGTTAATGACCAGCAGGCAGCATGTGGCTGCTCAGATAATGGCTGTAGGTACAGAGGCTGCTGCTGCTGTGTGGGAAAGATGTACTGTTACCTAGCTGGGGCATGGCTACTGTATGGGACTTTGCTTTGAAGAACTGTGTTGTTTAGTGGTTCCTTGTTAGCAATGGCTACTTAACCACTGGCTCCCACAATAAAGACTCTCTTATATACCCACAACTTCTCATGGCTTCTCTGTCATTGAATACCTGGCATTCAAGGAGGTCCAGCCTGGCAGAGGGGCTTGCACCCAACAGTTAGCCTAGTGGAGCAGAATGAAGGAATTGAGCTCCAAAACCAACATAGGTACATACCAATATGGATTAAATTCTTGTTTTCTTATAACTTATCCTATGTTATATATCCAATAGTGTATATTTTTCTTTCTGGGCTTTCCATATTCTTTGTACATTTTTATATGCACAATTTTTCTTTTAGTTATTCCTTTTCATTATTAAATTTTTTATAAAACAATGAAATTAGCTCTAGCATAAATATAAAATATCATAAACATTTTCCCAATTTTAGTTTGTTTTTTGAGTATATTTGTGCTATTTTCTTACATATGAAAGTTTAAATTTTAATACAGCCAAATACATCAGAACTTTCCTAGGTTTTAAAGGACAATTTTTTTTTTCATCTTTGGGTTAGTGTTAAAACTCTGGATAGATGTATTTTAATTTTTCTAAAGACTTTTTGAGGACTACCTGTTTGAGATTTACTGGATGTTTGCCAAAAATGCAGATTTGTGGGTATCATCCTAGTTCAGGGGTGGGCAAACTTTTTGACTCAAGGGCCACAATGGGTTCTTAAACTGGACCGGAGGGCCGGAACAAAAGCATGGATGGAGTGTTTGTGTGAACTAATATAAATTCAAAGTAAACATCGTTACATAAAAGGGTAGGGTCTTTTTTTTTTTTTTAGTTTTAGTCATTTCAAACAGGCCGGATCCGGCCCGCGGGCCGTAGTTTGCCCACGGCTGCCCTAGTTTCACTAATTTACAGTATTATCCTGGGATCAGAAAATTTGCCTTTTCCTGAGGATGTAGGGTGCTTTCCCCTTTGTAACTCAAGAGAGTTATAGAATTTCAGTTTAACATTTTCTTATGGTTCTAATATATTTTCAACACTGCACTAGAAACTGAGGATATGAATCAGTAAGAAACAGTTCCAGGTCTCAGGGAGCCCACAGTCCAGGAGGAGACACAGGTATTCAAAGAGGAAAGTATAACACAGTAGGATTCAGTGCAACATTTAAAGACTGTGCTTCAAAGAAATAATACGAGTGGAGGGTGATTAGGAAAGTACCTTAGCCACGAAATTCCAGAGCTAGATTAAGAAGCATAAACTGTTGTTTGCCAGAGAAACAGGGATATAAGGGATAGGCATGGCTGAGAAGGAGATTCTAGGTAGAGAAGTGTGAGAGAATAGAGCATGGGCCTTAAAATAACTTAAGTAATAAAGTCAGTGGGCTCTGGAGAAAAACTAATGGAAGATAAAGAAAGCTGAGGATGTATTCAGAGGCTAGATCATGAAGAATGTTACATATTATTCACAGGTGCTAGAATTTTACTCTTTGGGCCAGTGGTTCTCAATGTTTAGCAAGCTTAGAATCATCCGGAAGGCTTAGTGTTTCTGATTCAGTAGGCCTGGAGTGGGGGCAGTGAATTTTCATTTCTAACAAGTTTCCAGATGCAGCTTGTCTTGCTGGTCTGGGGAATCACACTCTGAGAATCACTGCTTTAGGCAAAAAGAGGTCTAAGAGAAGTGATCAAGTTTACATTTTAGAAAGGTCACTTTGGGTTGTTTGGGGGATAGTTTAGATTGGGACAAGAGTGGGGGCGGTGAGAGAGGAATCTAATCTAATAGTCTAGGTGAGAGAATGTGGGCCCTAAGGAAGGCTTAGTATTTTGTATACCATCCAGTTTGAAGACACTCAGTAAAAATGTGTTTTACAAAGACTTATTAAAAAACATTAAATACTAAAAGATTCAAAAATAAAATCTCTGAATTGGGATTTTTAAGTTTTACCAAGTCAACAAACTCTGAATTTCACATACCTTGGTTTGTGGTAAATTCACTGTCTCTGGCTTTTTCAGATCTGACAAAATCAGCAGCCACTATCATTGGTGTGTAGCACAGATCACAATTGTACTTTCTTACGAGTGTTCTAAAAGCTAACCTGTAAAGGGATAAAACTGTAATTAGACGTTTAGAAATCACCCCAATCATATGTACTCCCAAGTTCCATTTAGTTAACTATTAAATATTTATTAGAGGAAAGGTCTATGTATTGGAAGATGGAGATGTACTTTCCCCTGTACTTCCTGCTTAGTATAACTAAAAACCCTGGATTTTATATATATAAAAAAAAAAGAAAAAAAGAAAATTTCTCAAAGGTGAAGAGAAGAAAACAGACAGGCTAGTGACCTCAGGACCTGAGGAATAACAATGGTGAGTTTCTTGGGTTTTCTTTTTACCTCAAATATCCCAGACTTGGAGCTGAAGAAGCTGGCAACTTGGAAATACCAACATAGGCAAACAAAAGAGCCTCAACAAGTCTGCTCTCCCTAGCCAAACAGCCAGGAAAGGGTCAGCTTCGCCAGACAGAAAACTGTACACAATAGCAGCTAAACTCCAGCCAAACACCAAGAACAAACAACTGTGGTTTCCCCTCCACAAAGGTTGAGTGGGGAGCCTAGGTTTCTACCTTTCCAAGGCTATGACAAGGTTCTCCAACACCCCGCCAAGGTAGTATCAGAAAAGGCCAGGTAGGTAGCTGGGACTTGAATCCTTGCTGGCAAGTAACAAGGTGCCTTCAGTGGTATCAGTGGGGACCTCATGGGGAGTCTGGACTTCCTCCTCCCGCCCCACAGGGAGTAGTATCAGAGCATGCTTAGAGCAGAACCAGGACTTTCCTCACTGCCCAGGAGCTACCAGGTCACCCACTCCATGCACACCTGGAACTCTCCCCGCTGCTCAGCAGTAATGAGGAGCCCTTTGCCCTCAGCGTGTCTAAGGAGACCAAATGGGGAACCTGGACTTCTACCTCCACCTGATTGTAATGAGGTGGTGCCTCATCTTTCCCCTGCTATAGTGGTGTCAGAAAAACAACAGTTAAAACAGAAGGTTCAATACTCAGAATCAATGTAAACTACCACTTAATAGGCTAAAGAAAAAAAATCATGATATTAATCAGTGCAGAGAAAGCATTTGACAAAATAATACTCATTCATAAAAAGAACTCTCAGTAAAATAGGAGATCTTTCTCAACTTGATAAAGAGCACCCACAAAAAGTCCTACAGCTAACATTATACTAACAGGCAAAAGATAGATTACTTTCCCCCTAGATTAAGAACAAGACAAAGATGTCTGCTTTCATCATTCTTATTCAACACAGTGCTGGAACTTCGAGTCACTGTAAGAAGACATGATCAAAGGCATATGATAGAAAGGAAGAAAGAAAACTGTCCCTATTTGCAGATGGCATAATTGTTTACATAGATAATCCCAGAGAACTTATCAAAAAACGCTCCTAGAACAAAAAGTGAGTTCAAGTTACAGGATATAAGATTAACATACGAAATCAATTTTATATCTATATACAAGCAATTAACACATGAACACCAAAATTAAAAGTATAATACTATTTACAATCACTCAAAAAGAGAGAAATAAATGGGTGTAAATCTAACAAGACACATACAGAACTCATATGCTGAAAACTACACAAAAGTGATGAAAGAAATCAAATAAGATCTAAGTAAATCTTGACATATTGTGTTCATGAGTTGGGTGACTTAGCATAGTAAGGAATTCGATTCTCTCAAAGTTGATATGAATATTTAATGTCATTCTTGTGAAAATTCAACTAGATATTTTGTATATATAGACAACATCATCATAAAATTTACTTAGGACAGCAAATGACCTAGAATAGCTAAACAATTTTGAAAAAGAAAAATAAAGTGGAAGACTCAGTCTACCTGATTTTAAGATTAATTATATAGCTAGCTATAGTATGGTATTGTTGGAGGAATAGACACATAGATTAATGGAACAGAACAAAGAATCCAGATAAAGAGCCATACAAACACTCCCAATGAATTTTTGACAAAATGCAAAAGTAATTCAATAGTGGAAAATAGCCTTTTCAATAAATGGTGCTGAAGTAATTAGACATCTACAGTAAAAAAACAAAAACAAAACAAAACAAAAAAAACCTTAACCTAAGCCTCACACTTACAAAAAAATAACTCAAAATTGATCATGGACTTAAGTGTAAAACATAAAGCTATAAGACTTTTAGAGAAAAAAATAGGAGAAAATCTGTAAAATCCAGAGCTACACGAAGATTTCTTACACTTCACACCAAAAGCACAATTTACAGAAGAAAGAAACTGATAAATTAGACTTAATTATTAAAAAAATCTTTTGCTCTGCAAAAGAGAGTTCATTAAGAGGATGAAAAGATAAGCTGTACACTGGGAGAAGATATTTGCAAACCATAAATCTGATGAGTAGTATCTAGAATACATAGAGAACTCTCAAAACTCAGTAGTAAACAAAAACTCAACAACAAAAGAACAAACAACCTGATTCAAAAATGGGCAAAGGACTTGAAAAAACATTTCTCCAGAGAAGATACACAAATAGCTAAAAGCACATGAAAAGAAGCTCAACATCGCCACAGAAATACAAATCAAAACCACAGTGGATAGTGCTTTACATCCATTAGGATGGCTATAACAACAAACAAATAAATGCCTTGGTTAGTGTGGCTCACTTGGTTGGGTGTCGTCCCATGCACCAGGAGGTTGACAGTTCAATTTCGAGTCAAGGGCACATGCCTTGGTTGGGGGTTTGATCTATGGCAGGGCGCGTGAAGGAGGCAGTGATCCATGGTGCACTCTCACATCGATGTTTCTCTCTCTTCATCCCCCTCTCCCTTCCTTTCACTCTAAAAATCAATAAACTATTCTAAAAAATAAAACAAAACAAAAGGCAAACAGAAACAAGTGTTGGTGAGGATGTTGAGAAATCAGAACTCTTGTGCATGGCAGACAGGAATGTATAATGGTATAGATGCTATGAAAAACAATAAGGAGTTTTCTCAAAAAACCAAAAATGGAATTATCATATGATGCCACAATTCCACTTCTGGGCATATGCCCAAAATAAATGAAAGCAGGTTCTCAAAGAGATATTTACATATCCATGTTGATAGCAGCATTATTCCCAATAGCCAAAAGATGGAAGCAATCAAGTGGTCACCAATTAATAAATGAATAAACAAAATGTGATATATATGTACAATGAAATGTCAGTCAGCCTTAAAAAGGAAATTCTGATATACTAGAGGTCTGGTGCATTCATGCACCAGTGGGGTCCCTCGGGCTGGCCTGCGGGATCAGGCCAAAACCGGTTCTCTGACATTCCTCCAGGGGTCCTGGATTGCGAGAGAGTGCAGGCCAGGCTGAGGGACCCCACCGGTGCATGATCGGGACCAGGGAGGGACACGGGAGGTTGGCCAGCTGGGGAGGGACCACAGGAGGGGTCCAGGGCATGTCTGGCCTGTCTTGCTCAGTCCCCATTGGCCGGACTCCAGCAGCAAGCTAACCTACCAGTCGGAGCGTCTGCCCCCTTAGTGGTCAGTGCATGACATAGCGATCAGTTGAGTGGCCTTAGCATATCATTAGCATATTACACTTTGATTGGTTGAATGGCCGATTAGCATATTAGGCTTTTATTATATAGGATGCTACAACATGCATGAACCTTGATATTATGCTAAGTGAAATAAGCTAGTCTCAAAAAGACAAATATGGTATGATTCCACTTATATGATATATATAGACTAGTCAAATTCATAAAGGGAGAAAGAATGGTGGTTGCCAGAAGCTGGGGAAACTGAATGTGGAATTTATTGTTTAATGGGTATAGAATTTCAGTTTTGTAAGATGAAAAGAGATTGATGTACAACAATGTGAGTTTACTTATTCTGAATTGAACCATACACTTAAAAATGTTTAAAATGACAAATTTTAAGTTTGTATTTTATCACAATTGGAAAATTAAAAATAACAACTCAATAATAAAAAAGTAAACAATCCAATTAGAATATTAGCAAAAGACATAAAGAAACATTTCTTCAATAATGTACAAATGGCAAGTAAGCACATGAAAAGACGTTCAATGTCATCAGCCACACAGGAAGTGGAAATCAAAACCACAATGAGATATCACTGCAAACCTCTGAGAATCTACACTAATAAAAGAGAAACATGCAAATTGGTGTCACTACATTACGCCCACCAGCCAATCAGAGAGACTATGCAAATTAACCCAACAAAGATGGCGGTTAATTTGCATACACAGGTGCAGAGTGAAGACTGAAGACTGAAGCCAAGCCTCGCTGTGGCCGCAGCGGAGAAGCCTAGCCTTGAGGCTTGGATTCTCCACTGCAGCTGGACCAAAGGCCCGGGTACTGGATGCCGGAGGAAAACCGGTGCCAGCAGCCAGGGGAAGGAAGGCCTATTGCGCGAATCTTCGTGCAATGGGCTTCTAGTGGCTAAAATAATAAAACAGTGACATTATGAAAAGTTGGTGAGGAGGAGGAGAAACCAGATCCCTCATACATTGTTGGTGGGAGCATAAAACAATATAGCCACTCTAGGAAAGTTTGGCAGTTTCTTAAAGTAACTAAACATATAAATACCATATGACCCAGCAATTGTAGTCCTGGGGATTTGTCCTAGATAAATAAAAACTTCTGTTCATACAAAAACCTGTGCAGAAACGCTTATATTTATTTACTATCCATTATATCATTATAGGTAGGAGTTATAAGCACTATTGTTTTTAAAAAATGTTTTTTATTGACAGAGAAAGGGAGAGAGAAACATGGATAAGAGGGAGCAACATTGGCTGCCTCCTGCATGCCTCCTACTGGGGGTCAAGCCCGAAGCCTGAGCATGTGTCCTGACTGGAATCGAACCAGCAACCTCTGGGTGCATGGGAGGACGCTCAACCAACTGAGCAATACCAGCCAGTAGGAGCTTGGAGAGGTTAACTGTTTACTCAGTGCTACACACATATTAGGCAAGTGGTAACACCAGGACTCAAGCCTTGATCATGATCCAAAAGCTAAGTGTTGGAAGATGACATGTGGTGAGGTGGCCTTACCTTTAAAAAGTAAGAGCATAAAAAGGAAATCACCATTTAACAATACTTACTTTGAATATCGAACCATTGGGGCGGAGACTTTTACCAGCTGCCCAGAATGAAACAGTTCTATTGGATCTTTTTTCTTTCTTGACATATTGTGGTTTGTATGCAGTCATTCTTCATGAACACAAATTTGTTTCAAATCTGGAAAAAAAAAACCCACAGTCAGTTTCCATAGAGAAAAGGTACTTTTATTAGATGAATTCCTATCATTCTCACAATTTCAGTTGCCAAGAACACACATTTTTCATCAGGCCAGTGGGCTTCGAAGTCTTTTTAGCTTCTTTTCACAGTATCAAATAGGATATTACAAAATTCTGCCTCTATTTACAAGTCACTGATAGTTTTAGCACTTTGGGAAATTATGATATTTATGTTCTGTACAGCTTATGCTTGTTCATGTCAAACACTAACAGTTTCAAATTCTATACTTAACTCGTTATAGTACCATTTTCTGTCCAAATTAATAAATAATCAAGATGTTGAAAACTACAAAATCTTTTTTTATGGTATATAGGTTATACTTTTTCATGTTATTTTTTAGTTTTTGGCAATGATAAACCAGGAAATTTGATTGAAATAATTCCATTTATCATCGGTGTATGACTGGCACTTTTAAAGTTTTATCCAGGAAAGTTAAATGGCATTAATTGAACAACTTTAAGTAGTAGTTAGCATTTCCAAAGATAGACTGGTATGTTTACTATTTATTCTTATTCTCAAATCCTATTCTTTGTACCTGAATCAGAAGGCAAAAGACCCCACCAACTTTTATTATTTTAAAAACTTAAATGTGCTAGTATCTAGTGAAAATTTCAATTATATAAATATATAACTACATAGTAAATCACTTTTATACTGAAAGAGGAACAAATGATTAAATTCAGTAATTCATAGTATTTTATAGTTGCTATACCTAAAATTCTATAATTTCATACTGTTAGCTGCTTTTCATATTTCAATATTTGCCCTTAGGAAGTTTGAAACAGATATGGACCAACTTCAGGAAGGTTAACTTGCTCAACATGAAATTTTTTATTTGGCTAATCCTGAAAGTATTGATGTAACCTAAATATAAACCAATTATTTCAATTTCCTTAGGTAGTATGTACAGTTGGAATATGAAAAACTAGTTTTACTAATCACTGTTCAATTAGCCTTACTTAAAAATTCAGAGTTATTGGCATCTTATCTTTTTTATAATAAAAATTCATTAGAATGACGTAAGCCACGTATATGAAGTATAAGCAACAAAACAGTAGTTCTTTTCACGAGTTAAACCTGTTTCTTCTCTCTTGCATTTCATATCTTGGTTATGCCATCATCATCCACCCCTACTCACTCAAGTCAGAAACCTAGGGTTCCCTCTACTTCTCCATCTCCCCTAAGTGTGTCAACCAAGTGGTACCTTTAATTAAATCTTGAGCACATCTTCATTATCCCAGTTTCTGTACATACTCACAATCCCCCATCCTGACAGCCTTTTCTGAATCCCAAATAGAGTTGATCTTATTTACATACTACACCCATTCCTCTGCTATGTTATTATGTGCAATTTACAATTACTTTTCTAGAGTATAACACATATCAGTCTCTTCATGAGTTTTTGAAGGCATGAACATGTATTTACTCATTCAACAAATATTAACTTCCTCCTATATGTTGGAAAGAGATGAAAATACATTTCCTATATCCTTAAAAACATTTTAGACATACACAATAACTCCAACACACACACACACACACACACACACACACACAATTTAACCACTGTGGAAATAACTGTCTAGAGAAGTGAGGGGAGTCAACAATGGAGGAAGGAAAGCTTCAGCTGACACTACATGGGGGATGGGGGAGTGTCTAGCTACAGACAACAGTATAAAACCAGATGCTGGAAAATGCTTGATGTTTTCAGTGAACCATTAGTAATTTAGTGTTGTCTGAGTTCTAACTGAACTGAAGAGTGAGAGGGCCTAAACTGGTATGGGCCTTATATACCCGTTAAGATTCTTTTTGAGTTTATAATGCAGGGCAGTGATTTCAACCTTTTTCATCTCATGGCACACATGCTCTAATTACTAAAATTCTGCAGCACACCAAAAATACTTATTTTGCTAATCTGACAAAAAAAATAGGTATAATTTTTAAAGTTGGCTTTTGTGGCTTAAAGTATATATTTTTAAAAATATATTTTATTGCTTTTTTACAGAGAGGAAGGGAGAGGGATAGAGAGTTAGAAACATCAATGAGAGAGAAACATCGATCAGCTGCCTCCTGCACACCCCCTACCGGGATGCGCCTGCAACCAAGGTACATGCCCTTGACCGGAATCGAACCCCGGACCCTTGAGTCCGAAGGCCAATGCTCTATCCACTGAGCCAAACCGGTCAGGGCTAAAATATATATTTTTAATTTATTGATTTTAGAGAGGAAAGGTGAGAAACATCTATTTGTTCCGCTTATTTATGAATTTATTGGTTGATCCTTGTACGTGCCCTGACCAGGGATCAAACTCACAACCTTGGCATATTGGGATGATGCTGTAACCAGGCCAGAGCAGGTATAATTTTGCTTCACTCACACCAGATGGCTATTGTTGTGCTGGCTGCTGTTATCTTTTTATTTGACAATCTTGGAGAAGAGGTCAGTGCCTCTGACTAAATTGCATGTTTTTTAAATTCTTGCGGTGCAACTCTGGCCAGTGTAGCTATACTGAAAGGCTGTTAGTTCAATCCCCAGTCAAGGCATATACCTGGATTGTGGGTACCATCCAGTGGAAAGGCCAAGCAAAGAAAAACAAATTTTATATTTCAAAGATAACCCTATTAACATTAAAGATTTTAAATTTTGTGTATTTCAGATAAAGAAACCTGAGTCTGAGCACACTGCCCTTGACAATTTGTTTGACCTCTATTCAAAACCATCAAGCCTATCATGATTGAGATCAAACAAATGATATTAGGAAACACCAGCGACAGAGAAAGCAAGTCCTCGTTGGGCGTGGCTCAGTTGGTTGAGCTAGTCCCATGCTCCTAGAGTTAGTTCACTGGTTCTATGCAGGTCAGGGCACAGGCCTGGGTTGCGGGCTCCATCCCCAGGAGGTAGCCGATCAATGTTTCTCTCCCTTCCTCTCTCTAATATCAATAAAAACATAGTTTTAAAAAAGAGAGGAAACACAATGCGGTGTACCAAGAGACTTGCTCACCTGAGCTGTTTAAGTATTAAATGCATTTAGATTTATAAAGTACTTAGAAAAGTGTTTGGCACAATGTAATTCCTACTATTGCAACTTCTTGAAATACTCTTAGCAGAACTAAGAGACCCACCTAACTCTGATTTGGGGGGAAAAAATAGTTCCCCGTGTGTATATAAAGTTGTATTACATTTTCTTTTTATAAAGAAACTAGAGGCCCGGTGTAGGAATTTGTGCACAGGTGGGGTCTGACTGGCCAGGGGTAGGGGGCCACAGGCAGTTGGCCTGTGGGGCCTGCCCCTAGTCGAACTCCCTGTCAAATTCCCAGTTGACGGGACAATTTGCATATTTGCCTTTTATTATATAGGAGGATGTTTAAATTAACCTTTTTACATACGTGATTGCTCTGTTAATTTATCAGCATTTATCTTGGGAGAAACCTAGGTGAATAACTAGATGTAGCAGCGGAGAAGATGAGAACTTGATTTTTAAAAAAATATTTTTATTGATTTTAGAGAGGAAGGGAGGAGAGCGATAGAAGCATCAATGATGAGAGAGAACCACCAACTGGGTGCCTCCCGCATGCCCCCCAACTGTGATCTAGCCCGCAACCCGGGCATGTGCCCGTGACCAGAATCGAACCCGGGACCCTTCAGTCCGCAGGCCGAGGCTCCATCAAGGGAGCCAAACCGGCCAGAGCAAGAGAACTAACTGGATTTTACAGCTTCGGCACTGTTGGTTGAGATACGGAAAGCCCATCCGTTTGTAATATGAGCAAGTTTGGCATCGCTCAAAGCACGTGGCTGAAACTGAGCGGAAGCAGAAAAGCAGGTCTGATCTCCTGGGCGAGAGGACAGAGACCGAGTGCACTTGTTCTTTCCTGGTTCGGTCCTCCTTCTGTACCGACTCCCGGTTCTCCCTAATTCTCACTACCCACCCCGGCAGCTGGCCTTCCCGGCCTTTCCCGTCTGCCTTAGCTCAGGGCTAAGAATCCGGGCGTGGGACAGAGAAAGCTGGGTAACTAACCTCTAGCTGTGCCCGGGGAAAGCCGGCAGGGCTCCGCCAGCTGTGCCCGGAGAAAGCCGGCAGGGCTCCCGCCAACTGTGCCCGGGAAAAGCCGGCAGGGCTCCCGCCAGCTGTGCCCGGGGAAAGCCGGCAGAGCTCCCGCCAACTGTGCCCGGGGAAAGCCGGCAGAGCTCCCGCCAGCTGTGCCCGGGGAAAGCCGGCAGGGCTCCCGCCAGCTGTGCCCGGAGAAAGCCGGCAGGGCTCCGCCAGCTGTGCCCGGGGAAAGCCGGCAGGGCTCCCGCCAGCTGTGCCCGGAGAAAGCCGGCAGGGCTCCGCCAGCTGTGCCCGGGGGAAGCCGGCAGGGCTCCCGCCAACTGTGCCCGGAGAAAGCCGGCAGGGCTCCCGCCAGCTGTGCCCGGAGAAAGCCGGCAGGGCTCCCGCCAGCTGTGCCCGGGGAAAGCCGGCAGGGCTCCCGCCAGCTGTGCCCGGAGAAAGCCGGCAGGGCTCCCGCCAGCTGTGCCCGGGGAAAGCCGGCAGGGCTCCCGCCAGCTGTGCCCGGGGAAAGCCGGCAGGGCTCCCGCCAGCTGTGCCCGGGGAAAGCCGGCAGGGCTCCCGCCAGCTGTGCCCGGGGAAAGCCGGCAGGGCTCCGCCAGCTGTGCCCGGGGAAAGCCGGCAGGGCTCCCACAAACCCCCGCTCTCCTCGGCGGCCTCCCAGGGGCCCTCGTTCTGAGGTTAAATACTTGCTTTAGCGATAAGCGCTGCGGCCACGTCCCGGCGCCCACCTTCTCTGCGGCCCGGGAACCACACCAGCCCTCGCGGGCGGCGCTGTCCGCGGGCTCCGGGCTCCGGCTTCCTGGCTGCGCTGGGACCCGCAGGCTCCGGGACAGGACCCGTCCAGCTGCGGCCGATGGAACCGACTCACCCCGCAGGTCCGGAGCCGTGGGCG